AGCTTTCACAGACAGGTATGTAGGAATGTCAGAATGTTTGGACGTTTTTTCAGGTACTTGCCATAAGAAAACTGATTTAGAGACGTGAGACTTTGCAAAGTCTGAAAGACCTCATGGGAGTTTTTTAAACCAGACAATACATGTTTTACCTGTGACACTAATCAATGTTTAAACTAATGATCTTGTCTTACACATGGTTACCTCTGCACCGGAGAGCTCTACTTCTCAAAGTATTTAAAGAATACAGCAGGCTGTATGAACATGTGCTGTGTACAAAAGTCCAAAAATCTGTTGGCAAAACACTTCTGTCAGTGCTGTTTGTGTTGGTTGAACTCTGCTGTTATTATTGCAACTTATTGTATTGCAGATTGTTTGCTCAGAGAAGCTTGATACAGGAAACCAATTTCACGCCCACATGCTGGTGAACAAACACACTGGGAACATTAACGATTTAGCTTAAAAGTGTAGCAATATCAGCCGAACAAATAAAACCACGTTACAAAGTAGTGTATCAGCTCACTGGCCTCTGCCCCACTCTGTTAAGGACGTTTGTGCTGGGATAATTAGTTACAAACCCCACAAAAGTTGGTTGACACAACTTGTTTCACTAAATACCCAAAAGTACTTTCAGTTAAATGGAAAATTAAACAGCCAGAGCTTTTTATGTTATAATGGTAAGATATTTTTATAACCACATTTAATGTAAGTGTGGTTTTTCCATGCACAACAGGTCTATTGTCATCTCCTTCCTCTCTCCTTCTTGTTTTCTCTGTCAATGTTCCTGCTGAGCTCCTCTGTCATTTCCTCGTTTCAGAGCTTTTTGGCAGTACAACGGTTCCACCTTCGGATAAATGTTAGAGTAGGACTCAGAGTTTTCCTCAGGGAAAACTTTTGGTTTGCTTAGAAAAAGATAAACTTTTTTTTTCTTTGACAAAAAGAGTGACAAGTTTGTGTCTTTTACTGTGGCCTTACAGCAAGAATTTCCTGGGTTTGAGTAAGCCAGCCATCTGGGCTTTTCTGTGTAAAGACTGCACGTCTTCCCTCTGCCTATAGGTGTTTTCCCAGAGTTCAAAGATATGCATCAGGTTCGGTTAACTGGTGATTCTAAAATGACCACAGGTGTGAATGGTTGTTTGTTTCTATGTGCTGGTGCTGTGACAGACAGCAGTGTAGTGGAGAAAGCGGCAGGTAAATTTTTTTTTTTTTTATATAATTTTGTTTTGAAATAAATATGATGTCCAAATGAAGTTTGTTGTTTAGAAAAATGCCCAACTTGACTTTCCTTTCCATCACAGGAAACAGATTTTCAACTTGAAAATTTCAGCTACTGGATACATTTCAGAGTCAAAATTTAAGCTTTTTCTCCCCTCAAAGGGACGGAGATATTCATTGCTTCTGTTTGTTTCTTTGTCTGATTGTCTGTCTGTTTGTTTGCTTGTTAGCAGTCTTATGTCCACAGTTTTCAATATATCGTTTTCACATTTTATGTGATTATAGATTAAATAGCACCTGATTTAATTGTGATGAAAATCAGGTCAAGGTCACACCAAAATATACAAACTTGTCCTGAATATTTTATTGATAATGCCATCATTATGGACAATATTGCTGACGGACTTTAACAATTATTTTGTATTGATAGGAATCCTAACTCAATGTTTCTAACAGCAGTGGAGGGAAAAAACTGACATCGTAAAAAAGTGTAAATACAAAACTTCCGCTGATTGTAATGACATTCATGTGAAAATTGTCAGCAAGGTCAGAAGGGATCTGAGACTGACTAACAAACATCTGCATCTTATCATTTCAGATCAGAAAAGTTCCAAACAAAATGAAACTACCCTGAGGTGTGTACCGTCTCTACACAATGCTCCCCCGGTGCTGGATTGATAGCTGCCCACTGCTTCACTGCTGAGTGAATGGGTTAAATGCAGAGGACTAAGCAATTTCCTACGGGATTAATAAAGTATACATCATCATTATTATTATTATAAAAGAATAAACTGAGTACTTCTCGACAACATCCTAAAACTGTTTTCTTAAAGGGATGGAGGATTCAACTTGAGAGGGGAATTAAATTTAAAACATTCCTGTTTGTACAACATGTTTTTGCGTCTCTGTATGTGGAGTGAAGCTGTGAAACAGACTGAGCGAGGAACTTAAGCAATGTCCCAGCATGTCTGTTTAGAAAGCAGGAAAGAAAATGTGTTTTTTGCAAAGTAAAGGTGAGGATGTGGGGCGTTGACCAGGTGCTCTCACTCACTATCTACACACCATGTGCATATACATGTATTTGTATTTATGATAAGATGCAGGAAGAAAAAATGATGATTATTAGTACAAATAGTAGGACGGGGTGGATTAAAGCAAGCTTATGCTTCTATGCTTTTGATTACTCCGTTTTAGAGATGTTATTTATTATGATTTATCTGCTGTTTACTTTATTTTTTTTAATGATTATGCTTTCTTTCTTTCTTTCTTTCTTTCTTTCTTTCTTTCTTTCTTTCTTTCTTTCTTTCTTTCTTTCTTTCTTTCTTTCTTTCTTTCTTTCTGTGTTGTATTATTTTAACTTGTCCAAAATAAAGCAACAAAATACAAATACAAAGACAAATTTTGATTTTAACGCATAACTCCAGATGAATGCATCTGGAGTTATTTAGGGTCAACATTTGTCCCAAGGACGTGTCAACATGCAGTTGCAGAAGCTGGGGGATTAAATCGACCCACTTTCTGACAGTAGACGGGGAGTTGTCTGAATGTTCATCCACCATGAGCAGCAAGATTTTGGGGTGCCACAGAATTGAGTAACCAGCGAGGACCAAAAAGTCCATCCAGGACATGTGACTGAAACAAAGCAGTACTGCATTACTTGCAGTGCTACACTCACACACCCAGCATTGTTTAATTAAAGTTAGGTTTTTTGTTTTTGTTGTTGTTGTGTTTTTACATTTTTAAATTAATTTCAGACTTTTAAAGTTGACTTCTACATGGTCAAACATGTATATTATGATTCTAAGATCATTTAGAAAGGAAAGAGTAGTTTATGTGAAAAGAAGCTTTGTCTTTGTCAATGCCACTGCTGAAAATGGCTACCACCTGGAGTTCAGGGCAAAACGTGATCAGAAAAGTGTTTGTATACCAATGGTACATCTGTGAGTGATTTCCCTTTTATCTGCAGCTCTTTGTGTTTCCAGTATTTATAAATGCAACATAACACTATAGCAAGGAAGGGAACTGAAATAAAAACCACATTGTTTAGTAAGCTGTCAGCTTTTACTTTGCATTGTGGACATTTAACTCTTTTAAGTGCATTTTTTTATTCATCAGCCAGATGATCATTTAATCAAGCCTCAAGGGTTAAAAAATTTTTTTAAAAAACTAAACAAAACAAAACAAACCCTTTTTGAGTACAAAAACATGAACTTAAATACATGTCTAAATACCACTGCCTCCTAATCTACACATTATTATTAAGGGAGAAGTGCATGCTCAATGGGCATTTGCAGGAAAGACAGCATAAACTGTAAAGAGAAAGGCTTGTTCAAAGTACTATGTGCAAAAGTATGTGAGAAGTACAAAAAACATAACCAGCGTGATCTTATCTGAACAGACAGATTGCAAGCAAGATCATTTTGAATGCATCTTTGTAACACCCACACAAATCTGCACAGAATATCACTGGCTTGTGTACGCCTGGTGCTGTTCCCAAGTCCAGATAAATGGAAGGGTTACAGACCAGCATCTGTTAAAAACAGTGCCAAATTAAACATGCAAAGCCACCAACTGTAGTGGTTCAGGGAGCAGCAGGAAGAAGCTTTTATCTTTAAAACAGAGACCAGAGATGTTATTGATAATGGTAATGTTTTTGTTGCTGGGGCAACAATTGACGGTTCATGCTAGATCACATGTCTATATCTACGTTCTTTTGAAATTTAAGGAATAAACAAGAAAGTGACATTATTTTATCTAGAAATGTGTGCAACATGAACAGGAACTAGTAAATACAGTCTAAGAGTCAGCAAAAAATCATCCCAAATATCGGTCATCACACAGAATCTTTTTAGAACTTTTAATCATGTTACAAAACAATAATGAACAGATGTCGTTCAAATAAAGAAGACTGTAAAGAAACTTAAACTTTCTTTGTACTTAACAGATCAGAGCAAGGTTTATCTACACCTAAACTGGAGTATAAATTCACAGATTTAAAAACACAGTATATACAAAACTTTACAGGTGATTCGTTTTTGGTAGTAAGTGTTTCTTCTGATTCAACGTTGAAAGTAGAGCTTAAATTAGGATTGTTTTATTGTTAAGCTCGTGTTTTTTTCATCATAAAAAATCGATGGCAAATTATTGACTTGTTGGTGAATGATTCATCTCGGTACTGTACCAGACTTCCTGATAAGACTTTTTGTGCAAGCTCTTATCTGAAGAATAGAATGAAACCAAACTTTTACCACCAGAGTTTGCATGGATTGATTTCACAGTGAACTTGACAAAAGTTGCATAAGCAGAGTCACGGCTCAAACAAAATAATATAGTGCATTTGGCTTTTAGAGACCACATACCATGTATTTCACAAGTGACAGGTGCTAATCATGTGACATGAAATTACCAGTGGTTACAAAAAGGATATGAACTTTCCTACATCAAACTGTTCCCAGTCAGTTAAGAGGAGTATGACTTAAACTTAAAGAGATACGACAATTGGAAAAAACACACAAAAAAGCAAACTCCTGAACAAAAACACTTAAAAAATAGCAACAAATCCTAGAGGGAAAAAAACAACTGTTCCTTGTGAAATAATAATAACAGTTGATAGTTTGTCAGAACAACATTCAAGGCAGTGAAATGTTGCTCTGACAAACATCCAGTGTTTTCAGCAATTCAGTGCCAAACAGTCCTACATATCTCATCTCATTGTCTATGTGACATAAACATATTTTATAAAACAATATATTTATATAGCTTACACTTGGAAAACTTTGGAACTGTACGAGGTGATTTTTTATTTTTGATGGGATTTGCTAACAGTAAGAGTAATTGTTGCTAACTTTTGGCACATTTACACTGCTCAGACAAATTACTGAATTACATGGATCAGTGGAAAAGATCAGGTCAGCTAACCTCAGTTAGAGCCACTTAACACACACAGACACACACACGTATATATATATATATACTGTTCATACAGGAAGATATAAAAACTTGCCGCTATCCCCAAAACGTGATTTATTATTCCCCTTACAACCCTGACAGAACATAAGAAGAGGAAGAAATGCTGCTCCTGATTGGCTGCCAAAGGCTACAGTTTCTACATGAACTCAATAAAGTTGTATTGTTTATGTATAAACATTTCCTCAACCAAACAACTCTTACAAAACATCTTGGTGATGTTCCACTTTGAGCCTTGTTTTAAAGTCCCTTGGCCTGTAACATCCCCCTCTCTTATAGTTGATCTTGGCTTGATTCAGCGAGGATGTTGGTTTAAGCTCAAGACCTGCTTGTTTAAATGCAGAGCTTATGTGAATAAAGATCTTACAGCTTGTCTGCTAAATCACAGTAATATAGGTTATTCCTGGTTACACAAAAGGAAAGTACAGAGACAGACTGCAGTTAGCAAACAAGGGAGTCTTGGCAGTAGATTATTACAGTATATTCATCTGGTACAAGGTGCCTCCTGCAGAGAGAGAGAGAGAGAGAGTGTTTAGACTTTTGATACTTTATGTTCTCATCCTTATCTATAAAGTGATATATGCCTGCCTGTAAACACAGAAGCAAAGTCCAAGTAGAGATTTTGAGTTTTTCTTACCTCAGGACTGGTCTTGATTGATTGGTTCATCTTCGTGAGAGTTATAACCTGCCAAAAGATTTAACATTAAAATCTGAATGAAATCCTACGGTTTGATAATTAAAGCTGTAATAACACAAAGTGTTATTAGTTAAACACAGACAGTCAGACTGATGTGATTTACGTACCTTCCTCAACATCTGTAGGAGCCGCATCACGACGATCTAGAAAAAATGATAACACTGTATAAGATTTGACTGTGTTTTACAATGAATGATTTGACAGCTAATGATAGATATAAAACCATAACCATGTTAAACAAGATCATGCCATGCAAGCATAGAGGGAAACCCAGCAGTAACTATCTGACCCAGGAGTAATGTGACCAAAGCAAATAAATAAATAATTCTCAAAGGAAAGGATGTTTAGTGTAATAACGTGGTTTAGTGGGACAAGTGAGAGGAAACTGATGGTTATTCAGTCCAGTAACAATATAGATCCTTGTTTAATGACCAGCATATGATTCAAGTGGATTTGTGAACCTTAATCCAAAAGTTGTTGTTAAATGTTTTGTTTGAACCTTCTGTGGAGAATGTAGCCATTTTTATCTCAAAAATATTCCTTCAAATATTTCAAATATTTACAGCTGAAATAACAATGTGCAATAATAATGTCTAATAATAATATCCAAACTATCAAAATGACCAAAAGATTTAGAAAACTTAGTTCTATAGACAAATAAACTTAAAAATAAAAAAAAAACCCAGCAAACAGCGCTTTTTAATATTTCATCAGTTCTCAGATTCAGGTAGATTAAAAAGCCGATAGAAGGATAAATAGAACCTCTCCAAATCTCTACAGACACAGCAAGTGTTCATCCTTTATAGCAAGTTAGAAAGGAGAAACAAAAGAGCAGTAATAATATGTCCAAAAATGGACGTACCCATAAGGGGTGCTGTAGAGTTCCTCCGAGCCTCTGTCAAAAAAATGTCACAGCAGTGAGTTCTCCCTGCAGATATCTTTCGCTGTATTTCATCATCTATCTGATGTTTAATAATGGAAAGTATTTTAGACTGCTGTTTGAACTTGTTCAGTTTTTAAAAGGCACATTTAAACCAGCACAACAATGATGGGAGTGTGTTTTTCCATTCTGAATTACATGGCCTCGAGCATTACAGGTTTTTCTGCTTCACGTTAGCATCATGCTGCACGTTTTTTCCTTTCAGCTTGTATTGTTTACAGGAAGCAGGTGATGAACTCTCACATGGCATGGAAGAATGCTGGAGCTCAAATATCGTATTAAAAACTTTAATCAGTTTCTGAATCTAGTCAAACTAATCGCACCACTGCTGTAATTGTACATTGATAATACAGTCACTGCTCACCAGTAGGGCTGCATGATTATGATCTTTTCTTTTGTTCAATACTAAGAATATTTACAGTTATTCACAGCTATTCATAACTCTGAGTTCCACATGCAGAAATTTGATTAATTATATAGCCTTATTAAAAATATTCAAATATGAACGACTTTAGATATTTAAATTTATTTCTCTATGTCTCATTTGTCTTTACTCACAAATATTTTATTATTTAATCACATACAGTTCATCAAGTCATTTTACCGTAATTTAAAAAAAAACAAATTACTCACTTTGAGATCGCCTTTTGTACAACAACAGCAACAGCAACCCTATGATCAGCGAGCCGATAACCACCAAAGGAGCAACTACTTTGGAGGTATAAGCTGGTGAAGTGAGCCCACCTTTAAAAGTACAGAGAGTACACGTTAGATTCATTCATTCTTACATTCACTTACAACAGACACAGGAGTCAGTACAAATTGAACATTTGCTTCATGTTAAAACACTAAACTTGCAGAAGCAGAGAGTAAACAAGAACAACATAGAGGGTAATATTTGCATTATTGCTACCGTGTGACAGATGACAGAACTACAGATAATGATCTGAGTGGCTGGATAGTTGCCAAGAAAACCTGATAATAAGTTTGCATTTTCAAATTTCATCTTTAAGTTACATTTTCCATGACAAACGAAGCATCACCCAGACTGTTTTAAGTTTTGAATTTTTTGGTAAGGAACATATTGCAAACTGTTTATTACTGAAGAGTGTAAAAAAAACTACAGCACAGACAGTCTTTCATTTTTGTTATACATAAAATAAAAAAACATAAAATATCTATGAAATCATCTAAATGTGAATCACAACTCTATTTTTGCTAATTACTCTGTGGAGCTCCTATTTTATTATGGTTTGACATTTACAGGATTTTTTTTTTAATATGTAAATATTACCTACACACTTTAGTGCTTAGAGGTTTCTAATTCAGCCCCCATTAAATCTCCCATATGCACAAACAATAAAGTGTTTAATGGTTACATAAATTGCATATACACTTTTGGGGGTGGGGTGGGGGGGTCGGGCTGGTTCAGATTTAAATTCTCTCTGATTCCACTTTGGCTGAAATTACTAAACAGTATTGTGAGCAGTAAGATGGTGCCAGCAGGCATAACAACTATCATGTGTGGTGTGTCATAAACTATACCTGGAGATTCTCTGGCTGATGGTGGTATGTTGGTATCAAATGTTTTCTCATCCTCTTTGCCTCCACTGGCATTGAACACAGCGCAGATGTACTTTGAGAAAGTGGATCCTCCCAACAAAGACAGTCTGCTTGTGAGTTGAAACAAACCATCGTCTGACTGTTTTGCCTCCATTTTAGCGCTTTTTGTCCACTCATGTTTCTCTTCATCAAACCAGCGAATTGTTCCCTGTGGGTAGCCTCCACGAGACTCACAGACCAGGGTACTGTCTTTATTTGGGACAATTTTCTGGGGGATGGAGTATAGAGTCGAGATACTGTATTTGGCTGCAGAGACGAAATGGAAAGCACAATCACTGAGCTGAACATTGCACCTTGATGTCAAATAAAATTACCTCAATTAAGTATCTTAAGATGTGATAATCATAATAGTTGACATGCATTAAGAAGTTACAAGTCAAACAGTACAAGCTGCTTAAGTAAATGGCTGCAAGTACTTGTGCAACTGGAATTTCTAGATGTCTTTGCTGTCACAATGAAACTGAAAGTAAGCAGACAAGCCTAGAGTTGCTCAAGGGGAATACCAATCTGATTGGCCTGGAAAGTCCCCACATCTCTAGACAATCTTGATTGCTTACAAGGTGTTTAAAAAATGTAAAAACATCCTTGATTTAAAAATATAAAAATGTTTCAGTTTTACCTTGGACTTTAAGGTTAGTGACCATGCTGTCATCACCACTGTCTGTGATCACTATGCACTTGTAATCTCCTTCGTCTGCCACTGTAGTGTTGGTGATGAGCAGAGATACATTCATGTTCTTCTCTTTCCATGATGGTTCAGCAAACCTGTAGCCTCGCTTTGGCTGGTCCAATTTCCCTCTATTAAAACCCAACACGAGATCACCTTCGTCTTCTGGAGAGGTCAGTTTTTTCCAAGCAACCATACGAATATTTGGATCAGTTACGTCTGATGATGTTTTGACGACACACTCCAGCAGTGACTGTTGGCCATAGTGTCCCACATTTTCAGCTTTGCATTCCACTTTTATAAATCCTGTAGAAAAGAAATCAAAATTAGATTTGAGGTCACATGAACACCAAACACCACTCCATGCTTAAAGTTCTCTATGAACAAACTTACCACTCTTAACTGCACAGATGCAGAGGACAGGGAAAATGAATACAATGATTCCACTGGAGGCCATGTTTCTTTACCTGAAAAGACAGTTAAAATTGACAGTTATTACGTGGCGATCAGTGTATACCTGTTTTATGTCACAGGGATCTGCTTCTATGAATCAAACGGTGAGATGCAAAACACATTTAAGTGTAACAAAGTCCTGAGAAGATGCAGCCCATCAGGTTGGGGTGGTGTGTGTGTGTTCATTATCCCACTCAGCAAAAGTATTTCTGGGGGAAATTCCTGCACAAAAACAGGAGTATGCAATTTTTACAAGCGAAAAAAAAATTAATGTTAATGTTTCTCTCCTGCCTATGTAATATTATTGTTCATTTAGAGAATGATGACTGAACTTAACGGTAGAGAAATGCATAGCACTGAACAAGGGAAAAGCAGTCTGTAGGGCCCAGAGTCTGCTTGTTTGAAGGCATTCATTTGGTATGTTACTAAATAAGTTTTGTTAGTGGGCAAAAGACAGACGGACTGGTCTTTAAAACTATATAAAGTTTTTGTGCCCACTCAGTATGATTGCTCATGCTTGGTTTCTTTCTTTATGCCACATGTATCACATGTTTTCACTTTTGTTCACAGGAGCCACACTCTACGCTGGCTGTGAGAATGAAAAAGAAAAGGTCACCAGAGGTTATGCAAACGCAGCGACAGGAGGTGGACGTGTCCACAGTTTTATCATGACTGGGAAGATGGGCCTAGCTTAGTGTTTACATTGGCGTAATGGAGTTAAATTCATTTTATTACCAAGCTGTTACTCATCAATCCAAAAAATCTGACACTTTGTAAAAAGGAGTTTCTGCAAAATGAGCTCATTTGTCAGGTTTTCTTTTATATTAAACACTCCTAGCTCATTAAAACTTTAAGCTACCCAGATTAAAACAAAATAAAAAAATTATGTACATTTATGTGTTTTTGAAAAGAAAGTTAGATTGGTATGTCATCTTAATTTAAAAACAGAAAACTAAACTTTCCTTCCAGCATAGGATATTAGCACACGTTTATTTATTTATTTTTATATATAAATGGCTTCATGGGAACCAGGATTTACTGAAAAATAGGCTCAGTGCTGTAGAATGACCACTCGATAGCTTTCTTGTGATGCTGCTTTATTGAGCGTATATCCAGCATGGGTTATTACAGCACAACAACGGGTGTAGAACTGCCACGGACAGCCCTGCCGCAAAGCCTGTCAGGGTGGCGTAAAGCCGCAATGCCCACCCGCTCAACACAGGCAACACAGTACATGACAAGTGCCACATGTTTTTGTAACTAAACATTGCAATTTTATAGACAAAAACAACTTGTTGTTTTTCTACAGACTTTCAGTGTTGTGCACCATGCTCCTGACATTTATATTGCATGACTTATACCAGGCAAATTTCTAGTATCAAAAACTTCTCTTATATTGACCCTTTAAAAAAAATTTAAAAAAATAGGATACTGATGATCTTAGATTTAACATCCATTTCTGACACTGGATGAGAGATGGGCAGACCCTGGACAGGTCACCAATCTATTGCAGGGCTAATCAAACATACATGACTTTGGATTGTTGGAGGAAGCTGGAGTACCCGGAGAGAACCGGCACAAGCATAGAAAACATGCAAATCTACAGAGAAAGGATCCAGTCAGCTGATGGATTCAAACTTGTAACCCTTGTGCCAACTATTGTGCCATTTCATCTTCCTCTTTCAAATATGGAATTAAATGGTTTGCAAATTTAATTCTGATATAATGTCCATTCATTTATTTTCTGCGGCCCGTTCGGTGGGTTGCATTTTTTAATGGGTCTATAAATGAGGAGTCATACTGAAAGAGAAAGTGTCCAGTTAGTTTTTCTTTTTATTTCAGCTGAAACTGTGCCACATATTATGACCACTGCAACTAAAAGAGCAAAAGAATATAAATCAATGTGTCATTTTCTGTGGTTTTCTTCCATCCAAAGTGTTATAGTGTCATGGATCACAAGTTACAGAGGAGTCAGCTCAGCTGCCGCCTCTGCTCCTTGGTTTGCCTGTCTTTTTGTTTATGTTCTGTTTTTTCTGTATGCATGATTAATCTACTTCATATACACTTCACAAAATTCAAGTGCAATGCATTACAATTTTGTACAGAAATGCTTTTTTAATTCTGAAAGCAGTTATGGCTGTGCAGCAGAGTAACAATTTCTTGAGTGCAGCTGAGAGACATCTGCAGGCTCCAGATGAGCATTAATTAACTTCTCCACATCCTGTTCATGCAACTGAGACAACAGGTCAAAATGAAGTTTGCAAAATGTCACGAAGCCCGAGGTCACAGAATGCAGGATACAGAAATATTGATATGATCCTGATGTGTGCGCTTATTTTCTTTCCCTTCCTTCGGACGATACTGCCCTGAGAGTCTGGCCCGTTTGTACGATATCTGTATTGACACTGCTGTGTCAGTATATTATTCAGGCCCCTCACGTTGCCAGTTGTTTCCGTTCTTTTTGGCTTGTTTTGCCTCTTGTAGCTAGATAAGTTACAGAACAGACCAAGAGAAATTGTGGGGGGTGAGAGCAGGGAGATGACATGAAGAAAGGCAACAGGCAACAACAAATGATCAAGACAAAGTTTTTGGATTTCATTCAACTATTTTTTCCATGAACCTGTGACCGAGACAACACGTCCACACACTAATGTTAGCCCAATGTTTGTGTCAACTGTCAACCCACAACCTCGTTCTGCAGCTTCTCTCTCACAGACATATATGTACTTAGACTTATATTTAGCGCACAGGTATAGTCTAACTCTCACTCCAGGTCAGCACATTATGACTCTGTCTCACTGTGTGTATTTACTGCCGTCACAGTTTCATGATTCATGCTCACAGCACAAAAAGAAGCATTTCTCTTACATGAATAATGAGAGGCGCGTTTAGTGGTTTATAGGCGCTGATTAAACGGGACTGCAGCTTCTGGCTCAAAACCGCACTGCAGTTTTTTGAACACACACACACACACAGTCAGAAACAGACCACACTGTTCTCTGGCTGTTCACAGGCTGTACACTAACTAAGCTTGATCCACAACAAAAACTCCTAATGCACAGACAGAAGCACTATCGTGGGACAGACGCCAGTTTGTTTGAATAGAGAATTTGAATGTAACCCGAGAACAGCGACAACAAACCAGCGAATAGTCCTTCCAAACTGGAACTTTGAACTTTGAACACGTTACCTGTACATATTTTCTCTCTCTCTCAACACACACACACACACACACACACACACACACACACACACACACACACACACACACACACACACGTATATGTGTCCACATTCACAGGACAGGGTCACGGACATAAGTCACAGTCAACAGACTGTTGCTGGTGTCGCTGTTCTCAGAAAGAACAGGTCACGCGCACACACCACACACCATATACGAAACCAACAAAACAGCTTAATAATTTATATGTATATTATATTACAATTATAAAGAGATTTTCAAGCAAGAATTTATCAGCCTACAGTCCTCAGCTCTTGAATGGCTTTTGAACGCGGATAACTCGGTCGGCCGCGTTTCTCCACGTCGACTGAGCGTAATACACAAACCCGTAGGTTTCGGTTGCCTGCATCTGTTATACACCGAGGAGACATATAAGTCGTAAAGGCCGCACTAATATAAATGACCGCAAATGATCGATCAAGTTCAACTTACATTACACGCTCCTCTTCACCGGAGATGTGATGCCTGGACTGGGTTGTACAGTCTTAACTGGCTTTTTAACTTTCACTTTCATTCTGAGTCAGAAAAAAAGGACAACCCACTGGCTTTCCGTCGCCTCTTGTTTTACAAGGAGCAGACATTTATTTTGTTAAATAAAGAATTCTAATGTATTGTCAGCAACGTTAACAGGAGGCATTAGCACTGGATGAGCTTCAATCCACAGAAAAATGTTCGAATTTGGGCATTTTAGCAAAATGAAAGCTTTTTCATTCATCTTTTTTGTACAGGCCTAGATGAAAAGGATAATTACAGAACACTTTTTATTTAGAGTATAGCATCAAGTTAGTTAAATATCTGAGATATTGTTCTGGTCAGTTAATGAAATTACATTATCTTACAGAAGTGAGTACAGCCTTTACATTTTTTGAGTAACTTTGAGGTCACCTTAAAATACCTCAACATACAGCCATTAATGTCTAAACTGCTGGCAACAAAAGTGAATACACCCTTAAGTTAAAATGTCCAAACTGTGCCCAAAGTGTCAATATTTTGTGTGGCCACCATTATTTTCCAACACTGCCTTAACTGTGTTGGGCATGGAGTTCACTAGAGCGTCACAAGGTGCCACTGGAATCCTCTTCCACTCCTTCATGATGGCATCATTGTGCAGGTGGATGTTAGAGACCTTGCGCTCCTCCATCTTCCATTTGAGGATGCCCCATAGATGCTCAATAGGCTTTAAGTGTGGAGACACACCCCTGATACCATCTGAACCAAATAAGTTTATCTTGGTCTCATCAGACCACAGGTAATCCATGTCCTTGTTTTCAGCAAACTGCGGACTGTCTTGTGCATTATCTTTAGAAGAGGCTTCCTTCTGGGATGACAGCCATGTGATGCAGTTTGCAGCGTATGGTCTGAGCACTGACAGGTTGACCCTCCACACCTCTGCAGCAATGCTGGCAGCACTCATACATCTATTTTCAAAAGACTACCTCTGGATATGGTGCTGAGCACGTGCACTCAACTTCTTTGGTCGACCATGGCGAGGTTTGTTCTGAGTGGAACCTGTCCTGTTAAACTGCTGTATGGTCTTGGCCACCATGCTGCAGCTCAGTTTCAGGGTTCAGATTTAACACACCTGTTCCCCATTTGCACCCGAGACCTTGTAACACTAGTGAGCCACACGACAGCAGGGAGGGAAAATGGCTAATTGGGCACAATTTGGACATTTTCATTTAAGGGTGTACACACTTTTGTTACCAGGGTTTTAGGCAATAATGGCTGTAAGTTGAGTTATTTTAAGGTGACATCAAATTTACAGTGTTATACAAACTGTAAACTGACTACTTTACATTGTATCAAAGTGTCATATCTTCAATGTTATCCCATGAAAAGATATAATAAAATATTTACAAAAATGTGAGGGGTGTACTCACTTTTGTGAGATACTGTATCAACAGGCGCACTAGAGGGGCAACAATCTGACAAGGCCCAAGACATGAATGGTTTTACAGATGGAGGACTGACATTTTTTTTCTCAAGAGCATAGAGAAAAAGTCCAAGAAAGGCAGAACACCTCTGTGGCACGATGGCTTGGTTCATCCATCGCCAACAGGTTGGACCTCAGTGATACAGGTCCAGATCTAGAGGATCCTCCTGGGCATCCGCAGTCTTTTTGAGAATTTCCCCTCCTGTTGTCAGCAGGGCTGACCTGGAACAAAAATTCTCCTGCACTGACAGACATGCATACAATAATTTAAATACACTTGTCAGCCGCATCATTTTTTCCACTTTGATTTTCGAGGTGTCTTTGCATTCAGCCCTCTGTAGGCTGATAATTTCCGTTTCCATGATATGGCATCCTTTCGTTTATAACACACTACCCAGTCCATAACATTACATTGAAATCTGATGTGTTATCAGAGTTTTCGTTTAGTTTCTTGTAAATTAAAGACCACATGTGGTGCCTGGTACTTTTTTGGCATTTCTAAAGGCTTTTATTCAATGCAGTCTGTTCAGCACGTGGTCAGAGTCACGTAAAAATAAGAATGCAACACATCAGACAGTCTTCTACTTCTTTCAATCAGGTTTGTTAAGTGGGATTGTTTTATATTTGTGTAACCACTGATTGCTACAACCATGAAAAGTTTAAGTCCTTGAGCATTCACAAGATTATCAGAAAAGTTGACCTCAGACCTTAAGGTCAAGATCACTGAGATTCAAATTAATCCAAGATATTAAGAAGATGCATCTATGGTATCAATTCCAAAACCCTAAGTGATTTTCTTCTTGAGTCATCTCATTCACAAGATTTTGAGAAAACCTGACCTCTGACCTTGAGGTCAAGGTTACTGAGCTTCCAACTTGACCCCGATTTTTAGTAGAAACACCAATCCTACATCTCCTCGTTCTCACATCCACAAACTTTGGTCGCCCACCTGGTTGACCATACCTCAGCCTTTTATAGCTGAGGGGTAAAACACAAATACTGAGTCATAGCTCAAGAAATTGTAACTGTTCAAATAATATTTTATTTTATTAATCAGGCAAAGTAGTGGCTGCAAAGTTTTTTTCCCCCCCCAAGTAAAATGAACTAACAGCCACTACAAATATACAAACACACCCGATGGTCAAAACTGATTTAATGTCAATGTCCACTTGTGCCATTTATTGATTTTAAATTTCAGCAGTGACTTACATCCAGCAACAGGAAATGGTATGATGCAAGCGCTGCATCATAATAAACATAAGAGAAAGACACAACACTAAACAATGCAAACTTAAAATGCAGATTTTCTTGCGTGACAGCTTGCTGCCATGCAGGTGACTCAAGAGGACAGAAGCAAGTAGAAGAATTTTGGTTGGAATAATGCCACGTGAAAGTTACAGAAAGATTGTTCTAAATTTCCAGTGAGCAAGAATACCAACTAATGTATAAAAGGGGGAGAGCAGTGAAAAGAAGGCTGGGTTGTCATAAGGTCACTTGTCAAATCTAGGATGGGTTTACCAGGAACACAGCTGTCGGGACTATAAACAGTCCATGGATTTTCAATGCAAATGCAATGGAAAAAACGCCCATCTGTGATACTGGTAGGATGCAATTAAGAAACCCAACCTTGTTTGATGCTGTAGCCTAACACACAAACAGGCGCACTTTAGAGTAAAATTTGGAGTAAATTTTACCTATAAAAACACGGGGCACTTAAAACCGGCACTGGGGTTACAATAATCTAATGCTCGAGACAGTAGCAAAAACGGCTTGTTCCAACTTTCTTTTGTTTTTTTTGTTTAGTTTTTTTATTTTACCTGGCATGTGACCCTACAGTACTCAACTGAAGACAAATGTCTGCATTTTCCAGATCATAATGACAGTAATTTATGAGAATCCTGTGGATAATAATACTATAATCAGTAGAAAGAGTCCAACTTCATGCAACAACAAGAACAAGAATTGTTTCACAACAAAAAAAAGAAAAAGTATTTAACAGATTAAACGGAAGAAAATTCACAGTTATGTTTCTTCTCACATTCATACGTTAAAGACTGGACATGCATGCAAGATTGGGTCAAAGATCAACACGGAGCAAAAGCTTTTTTCCTTTGCTTGTGTTCTACAAAATGCTTCTCTATTCATTCACAGCTTGTGCTGTTGCATTAAAGTTAGGGGAGATTTACCATTTGGCTGATGTGAGAAATGTGAGCCTTGTACCCTACCTGGCAGGTCAAATGCATTTCAGAGGTAAAGGCAGACTTTGAACCGTATACATAGAAATACATAAAGTGCTTCTGTCAAAATAAACAAACAATAAAAACAGTACAAAACGGTTTTCAAAAAAGAGGTATCAAAACAATGCACTTGGGGGTGTGGAGGAGACTGGTGTCTGCTGGACATCAGAGGATTCCTGCAGGACAGACAAATGAGCTGGGGATTCTTGCTTTAAATAAAAAAGATGTTCGAAGATGAATGGAGGTAAGGAGGGGTAGTCGAGTGGCTTTCAACCAAGGATCAGGCTGGACTTGCCCCCCGGGGGGTTTCGGCGGCCAGATGGTAGTCCTGCACAGGGTTCCTCAGCCTGGGGGGCCTCATCTTGCTGCTCTCGAACTGCTTCAGGCTCAGCAGCGCTGTTTTCTGAGCATCAAAAGACAGTTTACAAAATAAATAAGGAAATGTTCCCTTATGACTTCTACTTGAAAGCACAGTCTGTGTGTCAAGTTTATCGTGTTCACTCTCTAAACAAACTATGAATGCCATTGGATGTGGGTGTTTCCTGTTGTTTTCAGTTTACTCTCCATTTCAACTCAACTGCAGATAACAATAATTTGCTTCTCCTGCCCTGTTTTCAAATGAACACTAAGCTTGAAAGTTAGTTTGCTTTGCACATATTTAGTTTCCCCTGGTAAACTCTAAATTCAAGCAGACCATTAAACCTTATGTATAGTTAACTCAGGGAGGCAGACTGGGGGAGTCAGGGGGAATAATAATATTACCATGTCAGTGTTTCTTTTCCTCTCCTTTCTGTGTATGTGTTGTAAGCATTATATTAAAACTGACTTGTATAAATGTGCCAACAGTTGGGGTGCAGGGAGGTTTCGAACTAAAATAACAATGATGTGATCAAGAAACATGCTCTTACCATTTTCACGTACAGAGATATCTCCATCCTAATCGAGATAAGCAGAAAAGAAAGGATGAATGTTTGACAACTTCATAAAGGAACTTTGTACAACTGTTTTGATGGAAAAACGCACATTCACAGCACAGTTCAACAGCACTAGTTACAACCCAAGTGTCATTTGGTAATTTCTCAAAAGGAAGAAGAGGAAAACATTGATACTTTAAATAGTTTGGACTTAAGCTGTTTCTTGGTGTTTGTTTGGCCTTAAGTTTCACTTCCTTTCTCTGTGCATCTCATGATCTGAGCCTTTGTCTTACTGTGGTGGGCGTGTCCCCCAAGTGACTGGTAGTATGATTTCCTCCTCTCCTCAGGGGGGCCGATGGCTCTCCACACAGCACACCTGTTGGTTTCCCGCCTAGAAGAGGAATGAAATATTGGGAATAACGAGAAAGAC